TACACAGGTTCAGTTTAGACAGGTCTCCTATTTACACATGGTTTGGTTTAGACAGGTTCCCTATTTACACAAGATTCAGTTTAGACAGGTTTCCTATTTACACAGGTTCAGTTTAGACAGGTTTCTTATTTACACAAGGTTCAGTTTAGACAGGTTTCCTATTACACAGGTTCAGTTAAGACAGGTTTTCTATTTACACAGGTTCAGTTAAGACAGGTTTCTTATTTACACAAGGTTCAGTTTAGACAGGTTTCCTATTACACAGGTTCAGTTAAGACAGGTTTTCTATTTACACAGGTTCAGTTTAGACAGGTCTCCTATTTACACATGGTTTGGTTTAGACAGGTTCCCTATTTACACAAGATTCAGTTTAGACAGGTTTCCTATTTACACAGGTTCAGTTTAGACAGGTTTCTTATTTACACAAGGTTCAGTTTAGACAGGTTTCCTATTACACAGGTTCAGTTAAGACAGGTTTTCTATTTACACAGGTTCAGTTAAGACAGGTTTTCTATTTACACAGGTTCAGTTTAGACAGGTCTCCTATTTACACATGGTTTGGTTTAGACAGGTTTCCTATTTACTCAAGATTCAGTTTAGACAGGTTTCCTATTTACACAGGTTCAGTTTAGACAGGTTTTCTATTTACACAAAGTTCAGTTTAGACAGGTCTCCTATTTACACAGGGTCCTGTTTAGAGAGGTTTCCTATTACAGAGGTTCTGTAAGACAGGTTTCCTATTTACACAAGGTTCCACTTAGACAGGTTTCCTATTTACACAAGATTCAGTTCAGACAGGTCTCCTATTTACACAAGATTCTGTCAGACAGGTTTCCTATTACACAGGTTCAGTTAAGACAGGTCTCCTATTTACACAGGTTCAGTTTAGACAGGTTTCCTATTTACACAGGTTCAGTTAAGACAGGTTTCCTATTTACACAAGGTTCCATTTAGACAGGTTTCCTATTTACACAAGATTCAGTTTAGACAGGTTTTCTATTTACACAGGTTCAGTTTAAACAGGTTTCCTATTTACACAGGTTTAGTTAAGACAGGTTTCCTATTTACACAGGTTCAGTTTAGACAGGTTTTCTATTTACACAAAGTTCAGTTTAGACAGGTCTTCTATTTACACAGAGTCTTATTTAGAGAGGTTTCCTATTTTCACAAGGCTCTGTTTAGTCAGGTTTCCTATTTACACAAGTTTTCGTTTAGACAGGTTTCCTATTTTAATACACAAGGTTCTGTTTAGTCAGGTTTGCAGTTTACACAAGGTTCAGTTTAGACAGGTTTCCTATTTACACTGGGTTCAGTTTAGACAGGTTTGCAGTTTACACAAGGTTCAGTTTAGACAGGTTTTCAGTTTACATAAGGTTCAGTTTAGACAGGTTTACAGTTTACATAAAGTTAAGTTTAGACAGGTAGTTTAGGAGCTAAGAAGGATTTGATAATCACAAAATTTGCCAAGCTCACCATTTTTTTTTGCATTCACATATTTTAACCTTTAAACATGCTTTTAGAAGATTGTAGATACAATTCAATTGTAACTCTGCAGTGATCAAGCAATGATAAACAAGAATTCTGTATTACCTGCATCTTGTAACTTCTTTCATGCAAATATCAACTGCCTCATGCTGATCAGAACGCTCTTTTCGGACTCCCCAACGTAAATCAACGACATTGAAAATCAATCCAATATGACGACAATATTGTCTGATGAATGGATAAACATCCTCCATTAGCAAATCACGTTCAATGCGAGTATCAGTAAATGTAGAACTCATAAAAACCCACACCTCTTTCCCGGAACGTTGAAAGTTTTTCCCAGGAATTTTACCTTCAAGTAATGCTAAATATTCGTCATCGAACACCGGTTTCAGTAACTTTGCATGAACACGTTGCATTTGTAGATTTTTGGACGCCTCAAATAAAATTTGTTGCCATGGGGCACGCAATTCACGAGGTACTGACCACAGGTTATAGTAACCATGTCGTAGATTTTGACGCATGGCTAATGTGGCTAGATGCATCATGCGATGTGTCTTGACGCTTGCCCAGTAACTCCATGGCTTAGCTCTGCTACCAGCCAGAGAGTTCCTCTTCAGAGAGGCTCCATTACCCATTCTAATAGCTTATATGTGACAGATAACTATCCAACTGCACAGAAAACCAGTCCTTTGAAAAAAAAATCAATATGTTAATGATAGGTAATACATCTTTTCAAAACTTGTTTTGGCTATATTGACCAT